ACCTAGAACTCTGCCATACTAAAGGACTCCCTGCCCAGTCTCTGTCCCACTGCCCCTCACCAGTCCCTCCTACACTCTGTTGCCCAAACCCAAATGTAATCATGTTATACCCTTCAGCACTGTCTCCATTGCCTCTAAGGTGAGATTTGTTTAGGGTCCTCCAGCATGTGAGCTTGTCCTTCCTCTACAGGCTTTCTCTTTCCATTCCCCATCCCCACCCACCCTCATTCCCTGTAGCACCAGTGACGGTGAAATACTTGCATTTCCCTGAACATCACAAACATGAGAAAGCATGTGTTTGCTCAGGCTGTTCCTCTGCCTGGAATATGCTTCCTTCCTCTGTCTGCCTACAAAATGTGATTCATCTTTCAAGATGCAACTCAAACATCATTTTTTCTATGATGATTTTCTTGACACCCACCCTCCTTTTTTTTTTTTTTTTTAAGAGAGAAGGCTTGAATTTTTTTTTTTTTTTAAAGAAGGTCTTGGGGGTAGGAGTTTATTAATTAATTAATTAATTTTTGCTGTGTTGGGTCTTCGTTTCTGTGCAAGGGCTTTCTCTAGTTGTGGCAAGTGGGGGCCACTCTTCATCGCGGTGCACGGGCCTCTCACTGTCGCGGCCTCTCTTGCTACGGAGCATAAGCTCCAGAGGCGCAGGCTCAGTAGTTGTGGCTCACGGGCCTAGTTGCTCCGCGGCATGTGAGATCCTCCCGGACCAGGGCTCGAACCCATGTCCCCTGCATTAGCAGGCAGATTCTCAACGACTGCGCCACCAGGGAAGCCCCACTCTCCCTCCTTATTGTGCAACCTGAGCCCTTTCTCTTTGAGTCCCACTCCATCCTGTATGTCTGACACAGCATCTACAACATTTCATTACACTTACTCCCGAACTTAACAGTATGTTTGGGCCATAGTAGGTGCTCAGTAAATGTCTGATTAATTAATCCTCACTCTAGGTCTGGAACTACGCTGTTTCCTTCTCTGGCTGCTCTTCCTCCTTCTGCCCTTTGGAGATATCTCTGATCATAGTCTTCGACTTTTTATCCTCCCTTGTTTTTTCTACCACGCTCCTAAACATCTCTCAAGTTCATTTACATTTCTTTGTCTCTCCACTGCTACCTACCACCCTAGTCCAAGTTACTATTATCCCTCAACTGGATCGCTGTAATAATCTCTTAACCAGTCTTGTCATATCTATTCTGGCTCCCTTCCAATTTATTCTCACCCCCCCCACCCCCAGTTTTCGTGATTGTTTAGAAAGCAAGTCTGATCACATCACCCTTGTTTAAATACCTTCAGTGCAGATAAGCCCACCTCTCTTGTCATAAAGACAAAAGCTCTCAGGGAACTGGCCCCTGCCTGGTTCTTAAACTTAATCCCCATCACACTCCATACCCACCCCCAGCACCCCAGCATCACCTCACACACTTCCTTGCTCTTTCACGCTAGCCTTTTCTTCGGGGGGCACGGGGGGGCACTTCCTGCCCTCCTTTCTTGCACAGAGCTTTTGAATTTCAATGTTCTCTTCCCTTTGATCGTTACTACCACCACCAGCACCACCCACCCCCATCTTGGCCTAGTGGAACTCCAGCTCACAAAAGATTTTGGCTTATTCTCTTCCAGGAAGCTGTCCCTCGTTCCCTGTATCATAGGCATATACAACCAGGGATCCTGCACAAAAGGCTGTTTTTTTGCCCACCATTATGTCCTCAGAACTTAGAACTCAGTACATGGCACATAGTAAACATTCAGTAAGCAATTTTGGAGTGAATGAACAAATGAATTCTCTTGGCCACTGAGATTCAAACACTTGGAGTAATCATGGACTCATTCTGCTATTTCATTCCCTGTATCCAGGTCCCAAGTCTTAGAACTTCCAATCTTATTATACCTGTGGATGCCTCCCCATTCCTGATGCTCCCGCCCTTATTAAATACCTGAGATATTGCCATACTCCTCCAGCTTATTTCCTTGTCTCTTTCTTTACCCACAGTTTATCTTATTTGATGTGATATAATCTTCCTTAAAGGCCATGTTTATCATATTATACCCCAATTCAAACACCTTTAGTTGTTTGTCATTAATGCTTAAAATATATTTTTTGCTTGGATTCAAAGACCTCCACAATATGTCTCAAATCTATCTATGCAACTATTTTCTATGTCTCACCCTTTACCAAGGCCCCACTCTTGAACCATGCTGATATCCCAGAAATCCATCACTCAATGCCCAGCAACCAATCCTGGGCTTGGGCATTTCCTCACGCAGTCCCTTTCTTCTCCCCCATCCACCCTCCAGGTCTCCCTGCACACAGTCCTGCCTGATTCTACCAGCTCTGCCAGCCCTTCCCTTCTTCCAGGCCTGCGAGTTGCTCTGCCCTCGGCCTGAAGCTGTCTTCCCCAGGAGGTTCTTTGCCCGGCCAGCTCGTTCTCATCCTCTGGTTCTCAGGGTAAATATCACTCCTTGGACAGGCCTTCCCTGGTCATCCATTTTATCTAAAGATGTTCTCCCATCATTTACTCTCCGGCATGGCCCTTTGCTTCTTTCCTTCATGGCCCGTAACACATCCGTGATTAATCTGTTGTTTTCTTGTTTGTCGTTGCTCTTCTCAATTAGACGGTAGGCCCCATGAGGAGCTTTTCTGCCTTCGCTCTGAAATACCCACAGCACTTAGCCCACTGCATGGCCCATTTATTTAATGAGCATATTTATTAATATTATTTTATCGATAAATGTTTACAAGGTAAATGATTCGCCTTCCCTTTGAAGAGATCTCCATGATCTTAAAACACTTAAAAGTCTGTCCAGCCCTCACTAAACTCTTAACACCGTTTGCGCTTTGTTTTTCTTTATCAAGAGCATTTCCCTGGCTAGAATAAATGGGACTATGACATACTTGATGACAATGATAATGTCACACCACTGTGACCCCTACTATATCTGGCATGGTGGTCACATATTCAATAAATACTTAATTAGAAATAAACTTATCTCCCTGTGTTCTGGCATTCATGTGTCAAAAGATATAAAAGCAGCTCTCTGCTTATGGAATTAAAAAAAATACAGTGTTGGCCACAAAGAGGATGTCTGCCCTGGAGTTTAGACAAGATCTTTGTGACACACAGCTTGGTGTAGCAGTGCCAGTGGCAGTGGCAGTAATCACTATTTCATCATTCTGAAAAATAGGGGTGGTAACAGAAGCAGCAGGTGAAAAGTTCAGTCTTAGACAATGACATCTTAGGACCAGACTTTTTCTTAAAAGGTAAACATGTTTACTCCATGCTTTTAATCTAGACGAAATAATCACCAAAAGAAAATGCTACCTAATTTATAGTGGTTTCTGTAACTTTTTTCTTTTTAACTTTATTTGATGGGGGAAGGGTTGCATTTGAATGGCTGAATTTAGTTGGTAGATTTTATGACAGTCAGTAAGGTTCACCAATGCTGGACAAAATATGAAAAAGTATACATATATAGCACTGTTTCTATTTTAACTTATACTTCTATCAAATGTTTGGAGTGTCGTTTTCAAAGGGAATGTGTTTCCTGCTTTTTTTGGCCTGGATCTGTAAGTAACTATTTCCCTGTGGCATCATGTGATGGTTTTGTCTTTCAGGGTGGGGGACCGAGCTTTTGTTTCAGATGGCTGTGCTAACATTTCTTTGGGATGGTTGCAAATTCAGAGCCACTCATGGGAAGGTTAAGATTTTATGGAAACCTATGATCCTCCCCTCTTCCACCTCCCCAGTGATATGGTCTAGTAAAAGTTCATAGGATATGTTTATACTATGTTTAGTGTAAACATGTATTTCAATATTTTTAAAATACTATATACATATTTTACAGTGCTCTACAAAGAACACCGTTGACTTTTATATTAGAAAAGGAACAAAAAGTGCTAGAAAAATTGTTGCCACTGTTGATTCTGCCATGGATGACGGACTTTCTATTCTTATGGCTCAGAATTCTCATCAAATTTCCCTGTTGACACCTTTCTTGTTATCTTAGATTACATGCTCTTAAAAAGTTTGTTTGATTGTAAGGCACTTGATAATGTTGCTGTTGCTGTTCTAACTGGTACATGGCAATGAGGTGTCCTCCTCCCAATCCTCTCTATGTCCAAGGACTTAGAAACTGATTCACTTTGGAGAGCTGAGCAATTAAACACAAATGATCAATGGCATTTATTGTCTAACTAAATTACCTTAAAATACGGTAGATATAGCAGAGCCAAAAAGTCTTATCATGGGTTTGCCTAAGTATAAAGTAAAATTGTGGGCTCCTAAAATTTTTTGTTATTTGATTTTGTTTAAATAAAAGTGGGAATAATTTTTATCAACAAACAGGAAACTGGAAACGCAAGCTATAGTACATAGCTATAACAGAAAGACCTATCACCACTAAAAGGCTTAAAGAAATTTTCAGTAAGATAGGAAAATGTTTATGGTAAAAATCATAGTAAAAAAAACAAAACAAAACAAGGAGATATGAAAAAGTATCTCAACTAGCTTTTTAAAAATGCATGAAGTACAACACAAAGGAAATACACTAAAATATTAACGATAGGTAGTGGAAGTTTGAGTGATTTTACTTTTCTGCTTTTAGGTACTTAATACTTTTTAGTATAAATAAATGAGGGAAATACAGAAAGCTGAACGTAATAGAACTATAGCTTAGATAAGGGCATTTTCACACTCGAAAATATAATGTGTGAACAAAATAGAAGTGTCTGATGCAGCCTAGAGGAAGGACCTTCAAGCACAAGTTAGTCGGTTTATCCAGCGCTGCCAGGGAAGAGTGAAGCAAATGCATCAGACCTAGATGGCACTCAGTGTTAAAATCAGCCATTCTGCTTCTATCATACTTCAGTTCGATGTTCATCAAGCAAAATTATGGTTTTAATTGGCTTTCTCATACATTTTGATAGAATGCACTGGTTATACCAACTTGTTTCTTATGTTATTCTAGTTCACACAGCAGTCTCCTGTGAGTTGGTTGGTGTGAGTCAGTTCTGGAGCAATCAGTCAATTCTTGGTGCCCTGATATGATCAAATTTATGAACCTGCAAAGCTGAGGACTGCCTGCTGAGCTACAGTACTCACACTGTAAAGTATGTGACCACTGATCTCACTAGAACACCCACCCACCACTTGCCTCTCTCCCACATTACGGCTCTAATTTTAAGATCACAGTCTCAGAATTGGCCACTCTGCTGCGTCTCCTTTCCAAGCTTTCTAAGAGGCACCTTTTTTAATTCTCAGGAGAAAGCAACATGGGAAGTAATATTTCCAAACTTGAACCAAACAATAGTAAGTCCAGGACAGAACCCACTACCTGCCTCACTGCTGAGTTAAAAGGGACAGGAATCACTAGAAACTGCTGAAGGGCTGTAATGAGACATTTCCGAAGTTGGAAAAATCAGATTTTACCATGATGCAGGGTCTAATGCCAAGAAGAGTGAAAAGGGGAGCAAGGAAGAATTATCTGATCCTCCAAATTTGAGGAAAGGGTATCTCTGTGCTCAATATTAGACCATCTGGGTAGTTTACGAGACTCTGGCTCCCTTCCTTAACTGCTATTCTACTTGTGGCATAAGTATTAGAAAAGCTCACTAAGGCTGCCTTTGGCTAGCCACTGTTAATAGCTTTCCTGAAAAACAAATGAACAAAAAAAGGCAGCTATTCCCAAGGTCAGATTCCCCAGGACTTTGGCAAATGCTAGTTCTGGGTTTCACTTTTGGTTCTTTACCCCCTGGCCTTGAAATTCTCTGCTTAAGTCCCAGGAAGCATTTGTCCCTAGGGTCTTATTAAAATCTTTAAGGGAGCACCCTGCAATGTCTTTATCAAAGGGACATATGGGGCTGCAGAAATACTAGGCTCTTCTTTCATTTGTGTAGCTGATTTTTGTTTAAATTCCTGATCTAGTTTTCAAGTTAAAGTACACAATGTTCTCTCCTTTTGAGGAGCTGTAGCCCTGTCGTTAGTCTCCACTGTTTGCTTGGATAAGGTGGGATATGTGGGTGCCCTAAAGGTGGAGAGAGACGTGGCAGATGCACTAATGCCCTTCGTGTTCTCTCAAAGACAGACAAAGCACCCACTCCACGGCAGCCCCGGCAGTGACCTCTGCACCCTGCTTCTCTGGCCACCCCGAGTAAGCAAGCATCCTCTCACCCGTTTCCTCTCATACCGCATGATATTTGACTTTGCGTTGAATGCTTTGCCTTATGGACTTGGGGAGGGAGGTCTGAGGAGAAGGGACCAGAAACAGAGGAGGAACTAAATCAGTTTTTTTACCTTCAGAGTGTGTTTCTTAACCTGGGGTCCCCCAAGCCTCGAGAGACTCATGAATTCCCTAAGCTTATAGATAAAATTTGCTCTGTGCAGTCCTGTGAACATTTTTAAGGGGGAAGAGAATCACAGCTTTTATTGAGCCCTCAAATGGATCTGGAACCCCAAAGCCAAAAGTTGAAAACCCGGGGGTGAGATTGAAAGTTAATTAACCACTGTGAAAGCTATTTCAGGGATTTACCCATAGGTGGGAAAGGTTACCCTCTGGTCTTTAGGAAAGGACTTCAAAAAGCCCAGCGGGTCATCTGCTCATTTTCTTTGCCACAACAGCAAAGAATATTTGGTCTTAACCTTTCTTGGCGGGGTTCTACTGACACTGCTGCTGATGGCCCTTATCTTCCTCATCATAAAGAGCTACAGAAAATGTAAGTCTCCAAGAGCTGCGACAGCCCTTCTTTTTCTGTCTCCGAGAATAGAGTTAGCTTTAAGGGGGAGTAAAATTTGCATAGCCCACCCTCTCTACGGACCGAGGACTCAAATCCCTTTACTTCTCTCCTGGCCACTCCAACCCTCCACCCCGCCCACTTCCAACACCTCCCCACCACCCCATCCCTTCACCCAAGATTGAAGAAAGCAGCTTCCAATTCCTCCAGGCCCCATTGGTGAGACTTGTCCCTCTTCTTCCTGGCACTTGTGGCAGGTCACTCCAGTCCCCGGGCCCTGGATCCCCTCTCAGTTCCTCCAGCCGAGGTAAGACGACCACGCTGTTTCCTGGATATGGAGGCCTGCTGCCAGGGGAATTTCCTTCTATCGACTAGAGTAGTGTTATTTCTCTGGACACTGGGCAAGTGATTCTTTGAAAGGCTCTTCTGATCTCTTTAAGTTGTTTCTAAATGTCACTTGCTTCTAAGAGACACCTTCCTCCAAATTGAACTCACTCATTCCTCCTCCTTCTTCCTGTGTAGTTTTCACCCCCAGAGGAAGCACTTACCTATGCCAGCATGACTTTCAAAATCTCGAAAGAAAAGAGCAATCACCTGACCGTGAACCATTCTGCAGACTCGGACTCGTTGTCTACGCTCAAATTAAAGTGACAAACTCACCTTGCCTTTCCAGTGAGGCGTGAGTCCCATTCCTCTCATCTCAGCTCCATTGTCTTCATACATCACTTTCCCTTTTAACAAATTTTGGACTACGACCTGGGTGAAACCACAGTCGGAATTGTCTGGGTGTGATTAGGCAATGCTGGCCAACAGTTTTGAAGACCAAGGGTCAGTCTTTTTCCTGGCCTGAGAAAAGATTGCTGGCCCTCCCACTTGGATGGACAGCGAGTTAGCCCCTTGAGGGCTGAGACGGCCTTCCTTGTCCCCTTCCAAGTGTGTGGTACAGAGCTCAGGGCACAAAGAGTATTCCCTCAGCATCATTGATCAACTTGGGACAAGTCAACCAAATGAACAATCTAGAGAGGATTACAAATAAAAGCAAACTCTCTGCAATGCTGGCTCCTTCTCCATCATTGGTGTGTCTTTCCCCATCACCTCCAGAGGTGCAGAGCTCATCCACAGCCAGAAAAGCCTAAGGAGGTGATGGTACTCTGGAACTAACTCAGGATCGATTGGGACACAGGTCTCAAACTCTATCACTAACTAGCTGCCTTCATTCATTGTGGCAAGTATGTTAAACTTTTGAAGCTTCTATTTCCTCATCTTGAAAACAGAACTAATAACACTTATCTCTTAATGTAAGAATAAATGAGATATCATATATGTAAGTACTCTGTACATCCCAGAGCTCTACACAAATACAAGGTCCCTATTGGCTAAAGCACTATTCAAATGTGGATATCCATCTCCTTTCTATAGCATATGATATATGCCTAACACTCTACGGGAACTAAAGATTAATCTAAATGTTAACCACCTCTGCCAAATCCCAATGAATAACCCCATAGACGATCCTAGTAAAAATATGAATAAGATTATTTTTTACTAGTAAGATTATTCTAACTCTCCTATGTGAACAATAAAAAAGAAAGCAAATCCAGGAAAATTCATAAAAATAAGCAAATAAAATATGGGAAGGCTGGCCTTAACAGCTAACTAAAAGTACTGTTTTCTTAAGAATGTCTAATTAAAACATGTTAATGGTTCATGAATAGATAAATAAAGGGTTAAAATAGCAAGACCAGAAATAGACCAAAAACACATGAGGAAGTTTAGAGTATGATGAAGATGGCATATCAAATCATTTGGGGGAAATTAGTTTATTCATAAATGGTGTTGAGACAATTAAGTAACCATGTAGATGAGAATAAGATCAGATCTATATCTGACTCCTTGTATCAAAATTCCAGATGTGTCAAAAAATTGTTTTAAAAATCATAAAAGTACTGGAAGAAAATATGGGAGGACTTTTAAAACAACAGAGTGGAGCATGACTTTGAATGCAGGACACCTGTTCAATAAACCAGAAAAGACTAATCAGCTTTACTTACAAAGTAACATTCAAAAGACAAATGAAATGTTGGGAAAATACTTGCAGAGCATCTTGTAGACAAAGGGCTGATCTCCTTAATCTATTAAGAGTTCCTATAAATCAACAGGGAAAAAAATCAACAACTCAATAGAAAAGAAAAAGGACAATGGATAATGTTGGGCTAGTCACAGAAAAGGAAATATAAATGCCATTAAACATATGAAGAGAAACTCAACTTTACTCATATTAAGAGAAATCATAATTAGAACTACAATTAGATGATATTTTTCATCAATAAGAGTGGCAAAATTCAAAAAGTTTGCTAACAAAACGTCTGGGCAAGATTGTGGGGAACTAAGACACACATATACTACTGGTGGGAGACTGAGTTGACACAACTACTGTGAAAGGCATTTTGGCAACAGCTAACAACATTTCCAATTCTATTTCTAAGAATGTATCCTACTTAAACATGTGGGGAGTCACCTATGTAATTTGAATTGCAGCATTCATCAAACTGACTAAAACTTAGTGAGTCTTGTTATACTCCAATCACTATTCTGAGCGCTTGGCGTGTGGTCATGGAATCCCCACAAAACACTAGGAGGTTACAGTTATTATTATTCTCATTTCAGATACAAAAATGGAGGCACAGAGAGGTCAAACAACTCGCCTGAGTTCACACTGTTACACACTATTACTGTTTGCACCTGTATTTGTATTTATTTAGTCTGTCTCTAAAAGAAAACACCACTAACTGATCTTAGTAATTGCCCCAGGGGAGAGGAACGTGATAACTGAGGGACTGAGGGGCAGGGATGGGAGGAGGCATGCTTTCCCTTAAAAACATGTTTGTAACTTTTGAAGTTCTTCATTGACCTTGTTGAGGATTTTCAGGGAGCCTGATACCTAGTGTTCACATTTCCCACCTGAATTCTAGACCAACTGAGAAACAAGAGGACTCAGGAGATGGAGAACAAAATAGGATCTTTATTACAAACATAGGAGAATATAAGCATAAACCATGGCTGCCGAGAAGTGGGCTTCAGAACCCTGAACTCCATGCACCACGGCGAGCCCCCGCCCCTCCCGGCAACCCAAACAGAGGCTCACCTGCCCACAGAAGCTGAAGAAGAGACCATGTGCTCTTTGAAAACTGCACACAAGAGATTTAAAAATGAAGAGGAAGGAGATGGGTTCAAGATGGCAGAGTAGAAGGACGTGCGCTCACTCCCTCTTGCGAGAGCACCTGAATCACAACTAACTGCTGGACAATCATAGGCAGGAAGACACTGGAACTCACGGGAAAAGATACCCCACATCCAAAGACAAAGGAGAAGCCACAGTGAGATGGTGGGAGGGGCGCAATCACAATAAAATCAAATCCCATAACCGCTCGGTGGGTGACTCACAACCTGGAGAACACTTATAACACAGAAGTCCACCCACTGGAGTGAAGGTTCTGAGCCCCACGTCAGGCTTCCCAACCTGGGGGTCCAGCAATGGGAGGAGGAATTCCCAGAGAATCGGGCTTTGAAGGCTGGCAGGATTTGATTGCAGGACTTTGACAGGACTGGGGGAAACAGAGACTCCGCTCTTGGAGGGCACACACGAAGTAGTGTGCACATCGGGACCCGGGGGGAAGGAGCAGTGACTTCATAGGAGTGACTCCATAGGAGACTTGCTGGTGTTGGAGGGTCTCCTGCAGAGGCAAGGGGTGGCTGTGGCTCAGGGTGGGGACAAGGACACTGGCAGCAAATGTTCTGGGGAGTGCTCCTAGGTGTGAGCCCTCCCAGAGTCCGTCATTATCGCCACCAAAGAGCCTGTGGCCTCCAGTGCTGGGTCGCCTCAGGCCAAACAACCAACAGGGAGAGAACTCAGACCGACCCATCAGCAGACTAAAGTTTTACTGAGCTCTGCCCACCAGAGCAACACCCAGCTCTACCCACCAACAGTCCCTCCCGTCAGGAAGCCTGCACAAGCCTCTTAGATAGCCTCATCCACCAGAGGGCAGACAGCAAAAGCAATACAATGGAGAAAAGACAGCCTCTTCAATAAGTGGTGCAAGGAAAACTGGACAGTACATGTAAAAGTATGAAATTAGAACACCCCTAACACCATACACAAAAATAAACTCAAAATGGACTAAAGACCTAAATGTAAGGCCAGACACTATCAAACTCTTAGAGGAAAACATGGGCAGAACACTCTATGACATAAATCACAGCAAGATCCTTTTTGACCCACCTCCTAGAGAAATGGAAATAAAAACAAAAATAAACAAATGGGACCTAGTGAAACTTAAAAGCTTTTGCACAGCAAAGGAAACCATAAACAAGACCAAAAGACAACCCTCAGAATGGGAGAAAATATTTGCAAATGAAGCAACAGACAAAGGACTAATCTCCAAAATTTACAAGCAGCTCATGCAGCTCAATAACAAAAAAACAAGGAATCCAATCCAAAAATGGGCAGAAGACCTAAATAGACATTTCTCCAAAGAAGATATACAGATTGCCAACAAACACACGAAAGAATGCTCAACATCATTAATCATTAGAGAAATGCAAATCAAAACTACAATGAGATATCATCTCACACCAGTCAGAATGGCCATCATCAAAAAATCTAGAAACAGTAAATGCTGGAGAGGGTGAGGAGAAAAGGGAACACTCTTGCACTGCTGGTGGGAATGTGAATTGATACAGCCACTATGGAGAACCGTATGGACGTTCCTTAAAAAACTAAAAATAGAATTACCATATGACCCAGCAATCCCACAACAGGGCATATATCCAGAGAAAAGCATAATTCAAAAAGCCACATGCACACCAATGTTCATTGCAGCACTATTTACAATAGCCAGGTCATGGGAGCAACCTAAATGCCTGTCAACAAACGAATGGATAAAGAAGATGTGGTACATATATACCCAATGCAATATTACTCAGCCATAAAAAGGAGTGAAATTGGGTCATTTGCAGAGACATGGATGGACCTAGAGACTGTCATACAGAGTGAAGTAAGTCAGAGAAGAACAAATATGGTACATTAACGCATATATGTGGAATCTAGAAAAATGGTACAGAGGAAGCAGTTTGCAAGGCAGAAGTAGAGACCCAGATATAGAGAACAAATGTACGGACACCAAGGGGGTAAAGCGCGGGGGCGGGGGGGGGGGGGTGAACTGGGGGATTGGGGATGACGTATATACACTAATATGTATAAAATAGATAACTAGTTAGAGCCTGATGTATAAAAAAATGAAATAAAATTCAAAAAAAAAAATGAAGAGGAAGGGCAGAGTAGGCACACCTGGTTCCTACCTCCAGACTCACTCATCAGACAGACCACTCCACCTCCGCTGGGGTGTCACTGAGGAGTGTCCCCGCAGTGGAGCTCAGTCCACGGGGAAGGAAGCTCCCTCCACGAATCTCTCTTAAAAAAACATAAGTAATATTTTTGAATACCAAGGTAAGGAAATTAAAGTGCAAAGAGAGGTGACATAATTTACCCAATGTCTCCCAGCTAGTAAGTGGCAGAACAAAATTTAAATCGAGTCCTCTCACTTCAAATTCCTTACATCTTGCCTCCACCCCAAGCTGTCCCAGAGTACGTATAGTGGCAGAGAAACTAGAAAGGTAAAGCCAGGGGATGTGTTCGAGAGAGCATGTTCACTCTGAGATGGAGCAGCTACTCCTGACAGCTGGATATGGAGGGGAAGACAGAGGAAGAGAGAGTTGATAAATGAGCCCCCATCACCACCCGCAGTGCAGTCAGCCACACAAGGTCAGCAGAGCGCCAGGAATGCCCTTCTCCCCTGGCTGGCTGTGGTGTGCATCCTTGGGTAGGACTCTCTCAGTTTCAGCTGAAACTCTGAGCTGACATCAAAACAATTCTACCAACATTGAAGCTAGAAGCCACATCAGCTTTCCAGTTCAGGGCCAGTACCTTATGAACAGCTGCAAGAGGAGATGTAAACATCGTCCTATGGCCACACAATACGTGAAATATCAGATTAATT